GGACGTGATTGGTTGTTTGTGTGTGTTTTCACACCTTCTAGGTTACTTGTATTGGAACCGGTTGTTTCTTTGACTTGAATTTTGACCCTTTGTCTGTGAAGTTTCTTTCTTATTGGTTGATAAATTTTGTCTATGTCGATGTGTCTATTGATTGATGATCCACTGGAATGCCAAGCTTCTAAAAATTCTCTAGCATTCTTGTTATTTCCTTTGTCTAATATTTGAACGTTGTCCCAGTCGAATTGATGTCCGTAGTTGTCTGTGTGTAGTGAAATGAGGGAGTGGATATCATGTCTTTTGACGGCTAGCTTATGTTCGTGGATACGAAGACGAAGGGGACGTCCACTTTGGCCGATGTAGTGTTTTTCGCAGTTGTTACAGTTTATTTTGTAGATGATGTTGGTTTTATCTTCTTTCGCTGTTGAGTCTTTTGGTTGACATAGAATTGAGTGAAGCGACTTTGTTGGTTTGTGTACGACGTCAACTCCTAAAGGTTTGAAGAGTCTTGTAGTGATTTCTGAGATATCTTTTATATATGGTAAGGCAATTTTCTTTGTGTTCTCCTTGGTGGCTTTTGCTTTGGTAGGTTGGCTTGGGGGTATATGTCTCTTGATGAAATTCCGTGGATATCCATTCTTTTGGAAGACGTCCATGAGATACTTTTCTTCAATTTTTCTTAATGTGGGAGTGCTGCAGTGAGTCCTTGCCCTCTTGAATAGTGTTTGTATGCAATTCCTTTTGTGTGTTATTGGGTTGTTGCTGTTGTAATTCAGTATTTGGTCTGTGTGAGTTGATTTCCTATAAACTTGAGTTTCTAATTCTCCTGTAGTTGTTCGCCTGACTAAGACGTCCAAAAATGGTATTTTGTTCTCGGATTCCTCTTCTCTTGTGAATTTGATGTCGTTGAAGACGTTGTTTATTAAGTTGTGAGTTTTATCTAATTCGTTTCTTTTGATGATTACAAATGTGTCGTCGACGTAGCGTATCCAAATCTTGAGTTTGATCTTTGGTAGAATTATATTTTCGAGTCTTTGCATCACTGCTTCTGCAATCAAACCTGATATTGGCGATCCCATGGGTGTTCCTTTGACTTGTTCATATATTTGGCCGTTGAATTGGAAGTATGTTGTTAGGCATAGATTTATGCATTCCATCCAGCTTGTGTGTTGCATTTTTGATTGTTGTGGTAGTTGTTCGTCGTTGCTAAGTAGTTGCTCCATGGTTTCTTTTGCTAGGTTTTGTCCGATGGATGTATATAATGCTGTCACGTCGAATGATACCATTATTTCTTGTTCATCTATTTGGATGCCTCTGATTTTCTCTAGGAATTGGATAGCAGAGTTGATGGAGTGATCGCAAGATTCCGTTAGGTGTTTTAGTTTTCTGTATAATTCTTTGGATAAATTATATGTTGGAGTTCCTGGGAGTGATACAATTGGTCGTAACGGGATATTTGCCTTGTGTATTTTGGGTCTGCCGCAGAATCGAGGTAGGACTGGTCCATTGGATTTCATTCGCCATTGGTCTTGTTTTGTGATCTGTCCAGTTTTGGTGAGCTTGTTTAAGGTCCTTTGGATGCGGTTATCCAATGTTTGTATGGGATTTGTTGAGAGTTGTTGATACACATCTTCATCTCTGAGTAGTTCTTCTGCTTTCTAGGTATATTCTTCTCTGTCCATGACTACTGTTGTTCTTCCTTTGTCGGCTGGTAAAATGACGATGTCCTTCCTATTTTTCAGCTTTTTGAGGGCCTTTAGTTCTTGAGCGTTGAGTTGTGTGTGTTGTCTTTTCTGTTTGACCATTGGTACAATTGTTTGGCGTATCTCTTCCTGTGTTTCCTCGTTCAAGTTTGATGATTTGAGTAATGATTCAAAAGCAGCGAAGAAGTCAGTTTTTGAAGCATCTCCGGTGTTGTAGTTTAATCCTTTTTGTAGTAGTTGTTGTTCCATTTTTGATAGTGGTTGTTTTGATAGGTTGACTACGCAGTCTATGGGCGTATTGTCTGGTTGTTGTTTTCTAATCTTGGCTAGCTTGGTTTTGAGGACTCTTCGTCTTTGTTCTCTGTGTTTTTCACTTGACAGTGTAATTGCGGTGATCAGCGTTGACAGGTGTTCCTGGTTGAGAGTTTTCTCTAATTTTGCTTTTTGGATATCTATAATTTGTTGATATTTGTTGATCCGATAATGTGCATCTGTAATCATTAATTTGACCATTCGTCTTCCACATTGTTCGGCCAATTTCCATCCCATTGGGCAGTTGACTGGTGGTTTGTATCTTACACTGTTTGGTAGGATTGAATGACGAAGGCACTCATGGAGAAAGAATAATTGTTCTCTGGTGGATCCTTGCCTTTTGGCGAAGTCTTCCCAATTTCGAACAGAGAGAAGCGTATCCCGCTCGTAAGATTTAGATATTATAGAGAAGATTTGTAGCTCAGGTGGATGATTTTGATGTGGTTTTGTTCTCTGAGCTGGATGGTTAGTTTGCGAAGCTTTCATCACCTTACTGGGTGACATCTTCAGCGCATACTTCAATTTGAAGTGAGCTTTTAGATTTCTCCACGAGTTTATTAATCATCTCTCCTGGTGACCTTGGACGTGATTGGTTGTTTGTGTGTGTTTTCACACCTTCTAGGTTACTTGTATTGGAACCGGTTGTTTCTTTGACTTGAATTTTGACCCTTTGTCTGTGAAGTTTCTTTCTTATTGGTTGATAAATTTTGTCTATGTCGATGTGTCTATTGATTGATGATCCACTGGAATGCCAAGCTTCTAAAAATTCTCTAGCATTCTTGTTATTTCCTTTGTCTAATATTTGAACGTTGTCCCAGTCGAATTGATGTCCGTAGTTGTCTGTGTGTAGTGAAATGAGGGAGTGGATATCATGTCTTTTGACGGCTAGCTTATGTTCGTGGATACGAAGACGAAGGGGACGTCCACTTTGGCCGATGTAGTGTTTTTCGCAGTTGTTACAGTTTATTTTGTAGATGATGTTGGTTTTATCTTCTTTCGCTGTTGAGTCTTTTGGTTGACATAGAATTGAGTGAAGCGACTTTGTTGGTTTGTGTACGACGTCAACTCCTAAAGGTTTGAAGAGTCTTGTAGTGATTTCTGAGATATCTTTTATATATGGTAAGGCAATTTTCTTTGTGTTCTCCTTGGTGGCTTTTGCTTTGGTAGGTTGGCTTGGGGGTATATGTCTCTTGATGAAATTCCGTGGATATCCATTCTTTTGGAAGACGTCCATGAGATACTTTTCTTCAATTTTTCTTAAGGTGGGAGTGCTGCAGTGAGTCCTTGCCCTCTTGAATAGTGTTTGTATGCAATTCCTTTTGTGTGTTATTGGGTTGTTGCTGTTGTAATTCAGTATTTGGTCTGTGTGAGTTGATTTCCTATAAACTTGAGTTTCTAATTCTCCTGTAGTTGTTCGCCTGACTAAGACGTCCAAAAATGGTATTTTGTTCTCGGATTCCTCTTCTCTTGTGAATTTGATGTCGTTGAAGACGTTGTTTATTAAGTTGTGAGTTTTATCTAATTCGTTTCTTTTGATGATTACAAATGTGTCGTCGACGTAGCGTATCCAAATCTTGGGTTTGATCTTTGGTAGAATTATATTTTCGAGTCTTTGCATCACTGCTTCTGCAATCAAACCTGATATTGGCGATCCCATGGGTGTTCCTTTGACTTGTTCATATATTTGGCCGTTGAATTGGAAGTATGTTGTTAGGCATAGATTTATGCATTCCATCCAGCTTGTGTGTTGCATTTTTGATTGTTGTGGTAGTTGTTCGTCGTTGCTAAGTAGTTGCTCCATGGTTTCTTTTGCTAGGTTTTGTCCGATGGATGTATATAATGCTGTCACGTCGAATGATACCATTATTTCTTGTTCATCTATTTGGATGTCTCTGATTTTCTCTAGGAATTGGATGGCAGAGTTGATGGAGTGATCGCAAGATTCCGTTAGGTGTTTTAGTTTTCTGTATAATTCTTTGGATAAATTATATGTTGGAGTTCCTGGGAGTGATACAATTGGTCGTAACGGGATATTTGCCTTGTGTATTTTGGGTCTGCCGCAGAATCGAGGTAGGACTGGTCCATTGGATTTCATTCGCCATTGGTCTTGTTTTGTGATCTGTCCAGTTTTGGTGAGCTTGTTTAAGGTCCTTTGGATGCGGTTATCCAATGTTTGTATGGGATTTGTTGAGAGTTGTTGATACACATCTTCATCTCTGAGTAGTTCTTCTGCTTTCTTGGTATATTCTTCTCTGTCCATGACTACTGTTGTTCTTCCTTTGTCGGCTGGTAAAATGACGATGTCCTTCCTATTTTTCAGCTTTTTGAGGGCCTTTAGTTCTTGAGCGTTGAGTTGTGTGTGTTGTCTTTTCTGTTTGACCATTGGTACAATTGTTTGGCGTATCTCTTCCTGTGTTTCCTCGTTCAAGTTTGATGATTTGAGTAATGATTCAAAAGCAGCGAAGAAGTCAGTTTTTGAAGCATCTCCGGTGTTGTAGTTTAATCCTTTTTGTAGTAGTTGTTGTTCCATTTTTGATAGTGGTTGTTTTGATAGGTTGACTACGCAGTCTATGGGCGTATTGTCTGGCTGTTGTTTTCTAATCTTGGCTAGCTTGGTTTTGAGGACTCTTCGTCTTTGTTCTCTGTGTTTTTCACTTGACAGTGTAATTGCGGTGATCAGCGTTGACAGGTGTTCCTGGTTGAGAGTTTTCTCTAATTTTGCTTTTTGGATATCTATAATTTGTTGATATTTGTTGATCCGATAATGTGCATCTGTAATCATTAATTTGACCATTCGTCTTCCACATTGTTCGGCCAATTTCCATCCCATTGGAACTGCAATCCAACATGGCCGACTAACGTAGACGAATATGACCTTCGAGCGTCTCACTCCACCGATGACCTTGATAAGTTACGGATAATTTCAGCCATCCAACAACAATAGAAATTTTTGTGTCCTTGAGCCCGCGGGCCGTCTGAATTCTTTAAATGGGTGGTGACGGAGGCAGCATACCTCGTCGTGATGATCTTGTTAAGTCAAAAAAGAAGCAAGAAGTTGCTAATCGGGAGGCAGCTAACATGGCACTCTGGAAGCACTGTTCACTTACACAAGATCCTCTTCGCCAACCTGTGGTTTCCTGCTTGCTAGGAAGGTAAATTTATTTATCACTTAAAATTGATCGTGATAATAGACTTTACAACAAAGAGTCCGTTATCAACAAGCTCCTGACTAAAACGAAGGGAGATGGTTTCTCCGACCACATTAAGAAGCTCAGAGATGTGAAAGAGTTACGTCTGAGTGTAACAACTAATGGCACTACTACCCTGGACCCACAGTTATTTTACTGTCCAGTAACAGGTCTTGAAATGTCTGGCATTTATCCTTTCGTGTATCTTTGGGGCTGTGGTTGTGTATTCTCAAAGAAGGCTCTCACAGAAGTTAGCAGTAATTTATGCATGCTGGTAGGTGATTATCATTTGGACTTGGTAGTGTAATTGGTATTCACTACATTTTGCAACATTTTCAATTTCTACTCACCCTTTTCAAAGGCAAAGCATTATTCATTTCATACTTTGGTCAATAATTTCGCACCAAACGGGTGGCTTTTGTCGATGGTCGCTGAGTATTGTTAATATGGAGAAATTAAAGGACAACCCCCTGCCTGCACCTTCCATTAGAAAATCATTTTACTGCAAGCTAAGTAGACTACATATTTGTGCTAAACGACAACAACAATTAGCTAATCCTTTATATGTGTAGATCATTGCTTAGGTATAAATTTATATTCTAGAGGTAAGAAATTAGTCTCTAATACTCACAAGATTTCGTTTGAAGACAGCACATAGATTTCAACCAGAATACTTGCAAGTATACGACCAAATTGTTATCTTTGATAAACCACACAAATTTGGCATCTCTGTTCACACATACCCTGAGTTAAGAAAACTTTCACAAGATTTCTTCCTGGAAATTTGATTGAGGCGTTGGAGATCGTGGTTGAGGCACCCGTAAAGCCCACGGAAGATCTCTTCCTTCCATATGAGGGAAACAACAAGGGACTTATGTGTGTAGTAGTTATTACGACGTTATTCTGTCCTTAATTTGTTTTTTTTGGACAAATTGTTCTCCGTGTATTAAAAATGTGTTAACTTCATGTTTTTTCCTTCCAAACGTGTTTAATACCTATTTTTACCTTTCAGTGTGGAACACCATTCATTCGTGATGATGTTATACTAATAAACCCACAAACCGAGGAAGAGATTGAAGCTGCAAAGACACGACTGGCCAACTACCAAACGAAACCTAAAGTACGTTTGTTGATTTCAGAAGTTTACTATGTAATGTAAGGTTGTTTATCCAAATGACTAACATAGTAGTTATATTAGCTTGTTATCAAGTGATTAATGTGCTCTCATTTCTTCGAATGTAATTACTGTGGCAAACTTAGGTTCATTTTTAGAACAAAATAACTTAAGTTTTGTGTAACCATCAATAGTAGCTTATTTGTGCTGTGACTACTAATTTCCATTGAATTACATTGGTCACGCGCAGAAGTGAGGTTGCCTCACTTTAAATCAACCTATGGGAGGTTTTCGTTTTTCATAGTTGGGGATGTTTATACTGGATTGCAAACCTATATGTTTATGAGACGTAGTTGCTTCGATAAATATTTGAAGAATACTGCTGTATAATACAGTAGCGGTGAGTATATCAACATATTTATATAAAATCTCACTCAGTGCGTTTCTATTCAGTTAAGGTCGAGTAACCTGCATAGAACTCCGAGTATTTATTTATTAGACCGCGTATTCGCAAAAGAAAAAGATTGCAAATGTACACATCGCTAATTCAGACGTAATTTTAGGTCACTGGGCATTGTAGCTTATAAGTTTAAGCTAAGGGAATAGGAAAATATTCGGGTCTTGAATTCAAACAAGTTTATTAGTTTCAAATAAAAGTGAGTATAAATATCTCAGTATAGACATTTTCTAAATCCTACATCAGTTTGAGAATCATTGAAAACCACAAGATATTGGGCAGCTGTTTCGCCCCAGTTGGAGGCTTCAGCAGTGGCATCTACGACCACATCAAGGATGAAATCCAGGATATTGCGTTTGGGAACCGATGACCCTTTTCATTTAGCCTATGGTTAGTAATCCATGAGTCCGTTATTTATAACTTATCAGTTCTCAGCTTAGCACCACTACTCACCAATGTCATTGGGGAGTATTCGTCTTTACGTTGGAATTTGTAGATCCGATGAGTCACAAATAAATGTGACTTACTGTCGTCAACAATCAATTTTCAGTCATGGATTCTGGAGTCGAATCCCTTCTCATATGCGCTGTGGGTGACCATCAGACAATAAAAAGTGACTCATAGCTTAATGCACGAGAAATAGGTTTTGTGTAACTGAGTATTCTAATTAGGACTTCACGATGTCCGCTCTGATGACGGTATTCGGGTTAGTTGGTGTCTCTGCTGCACTGGACACTATACTTGAATGCATGCTGCTCGACTGGATGCTTATTAGTGGTATTTCATATCCTCGTATCTTGGGGGTTCAGCTGAATTTATAATAAGTGCTCAGATGAGATTCCTTTTTCTCGTCTTCCCATTAAATGACGGTGACACCGGAGTCTATCTTCTGGTCATTCTAACTACCGTCTGTGTACCGTCAGCTGGCTGTACTTGCAGTAAGCGCCTTGCTAGCAATCTAGTTAAATGCACAACACCCAAGCTAAGAAAGGAATCATTTCAGTGACTGGCGCCGATCAAGTGATGATTAAATGTCAGATGATGGGGATCATGTCTTGCAGCTGTGCACAGATCACAAACTACTTTTAACCAATCCTGAATTTTGGCATTCCACTTTTGTCCTTGGAATATGGATTCAAATTTATTACACTGCATCTACCGATGACCTCAGTCCTCATGGAGTTTTATTCCTGAATAATGGGTGTTTGTGTAGTCATTTTGACGTGCATTTTGGCGATCATCTTTGTCATTCTAAACTTGCTGACATAAGTAATTCAGTTATACTCATTTAGTAGCTAGTATTTTGACCAAGCTTAATTCCAAAGCGAGCTGATAGTTTTCCGGGGAATGAAGGCCTCATAAAACACTATGAAATCGTAAGCACAGCTTTCTGGGAATTATTTGTTCTTTTGACTAACAAATGTAGGCTTTCTTCAGGTTTTATTACGGCCCTTTTTTTCATTTCTGTTTGTAGCAATTAGTTACCTGTGTCTGGATTTTACACGTGTTCGAAAAACCTTGCATCTTGTCGGCCATATTGTGAAAGTAAAATGAAGGAACAACATCCTTTAGCAACAACCTCAGGATGGTCGGGGGTGGGTGCTGCGGGTTGGCCACCCTCCGCACACCTCTTGAAATGCTCCCATATGACCGGGCGTCTTACATAGCCTCTCCTGAGGAAGTCCTACTCACTGCCTTCGCGTGGCGGAGGTGTTTCTCACCAAAGTGAGAGGGTGAAAGCGGATGCCCGGCGCTCTCCACCGGGTTGACTGTCCATTGGATGACGGTCTAGGGGAGATGGCTAAACCCTGATTCCAAACCTCCAACGACTGGAGTATGAAGCTCACTGGAGCTCACCGGCAGACGTATGGACAAAGGGCTTGTTGGATGTCCTGGATGTCTGGTCCCATTCAAGAAGGCGTATGAACCGAACTCCGGTCACCGGCTGCCAATGGATAGTGGACTCCTTACTCCACTCCTACTGCCTTGTAGGTCACACTTGGCTGTGTAAAGGCTAGAGCTGCACTCTCAAACAAAAGGCCGAGCGATTCTGGGGACATCACTCGTACCAAATTCCCATGAAACTTCATGAACTCTCCTACAAATTGCCGTGCCTGGGCAGCGATGATTCGAGACGTTCATGAAGCCGGCTCATCCTCCCGTAGGAGATAGCCGAAGTAAAGTAAAGTAAAGTAGTATGGAAGCTGTTCAAGTTCATCTAAACCAGCTAAGCTGAGAATCTTAATATTGGAGACGCAGTTTGTGAATTAGGTAGTGTGCCAATTAATTAGCTGGAATGACTACTAGACTAATTGACTGATGAGTTGTGCATGTGACCAAGATAATATATGAGCGAAGATTAGTGATATCGAGGAATGGATAAATATGTGGCAGTGGGTATTGTTATGAGCCAGCTCTTGATTCTTACCGCACGGAAAATCCGCACTAATTTGCCTAAATGATCGATTAATAACTTCATGGCTAGACACATACCACATATTTGCTCATTTTTCTTTCTGATCAACTAACAAAAATTATTTAGGATCCCCTTATACTAACTGATACCTTGGTAAAGCTAGTTAATAAGTCATCTTCACCATCTTTAAACACCTCTGGAGTCAAACCAGTAGGTTCTGCTGTTCTGTCTGGTAAATTAGAGACCGCTTAACAATTTTCGGTTAAAGTTGGAGGGCAGGCTAAATGTAAGTAAAAAAAATAATATATTAAAAACCTCCTCTTACTCATCATTAAAATTCCTTTGCCTTTTGTTTGCTTTTTCAAAGCGTGACAGCTCGAGTCGATGTATTTTCGTGCATAGCTCTACTCTGACATCCGTTTCGAAGTCACTCTATAGCTAGAGAAGTCTAACTACTGTGAACTCGTTATCGAAGTTATCTGACCTTCCTTTATCTAGGACTTCAAAGAATAACCGTCACATCTTACTTGAGAGAAATGTGACTAATGCGTCAGGGTGGCGAGTAGTTATCAAGACAAATGAATATTTTAGGCGGTGATGAATTATTCGCTCCAGTTTACTGTTGCATATCTGTTGTTTTGTTTGGAATATTTTTTTTATCACAATGACCGCTGTCTGTCTGGATTCAACATAGAACTTGACACTGAAGTGCACCAGTTCGAGTTGCCACGTTCCAAGTAGCACACAAAGGTAGACAAGAAGATGAGTGAAGAGAATCAATAGAGTTTGACAGGTATAAGGGTGAAAAAGAATGGGTAATGGTAGAAAGAAATATGAAAGATTACAGAGACTGAATACATCTGCGCTGGCCATTGACAACGATTTTGAGCCATGTCACCTATTGTCTCCAGCCATTGATTCCTAGAGTCCCGAGGGCCCCAACCCGGGAGTCTGCATCTCCCTACCTGACTCAGTTTAACTGTCAAGGATTTCATGGATTGATGCCATGTTTTTGTTTGGCCACCACTGGCTCTTTTCCAACCTGCACCTATATCAGCTAGTAGTGCCCGTCGGGGAAGGCGGTGGTTAGGCATGCGCAGCACGTGACCTAGCCATCTCAATCTATGTAACTTTATAGCCTCGTCGATTGATTTTCCCTCTTTGCCCAACACTCTACGCCTAACGTCAACATTACTTACTTATTAAACCACCTAACGTGAGACAGAGATCGCAGACATCTATGATCGAAAGCAGTCAACCTTTTCATGTCTTCAACGCGTATTGGCCATGTTTCAGAGCCATAGAGAAGGACGGAGCGAACTGATGAGCAGTACACACGTCCCTTGGTTGATACACGGATGTCACGCCTACGCCAGAGATGGTGTAAGTCAGCGAAAGCAGCTCGAGCTTTTCGGATCCGTGCTGAGATTTCATCGCCAATCAGTCCGTTGGTGCTAATACAACTTGGTCAACATGTTCTATCACTTCACTCCCTATCACTAAGTTAGGAGTTGACGTAGTCCAGTCCTGTAGCAGCATCTTACATTTTTCAGGGGCGAATCGCATGCCAAACATACGAAGATTGCTGCTCAAGGTGTTCAGAAGACTCTGCATTTTGTCAGCATCCTCCCCTAACAGGACTATGTCATCTGCATATTCTAAGTCCATAAGACTATTCCCTGGTAACAAGTCGATTCCTAAGTCACTACGTTCAGTTAAGGATACTTCCATCAGCATATCTATGATGAAGTTAAACAGAAATGGGGAAAGTGGACATCCCTGTCGGACACCACTGGTTGTTACCAATTCAGATGACAATTCCCCATAAGCCCTTACACGACTACGTGAGTTTGAATAGAGTGCCTTGATTAGTGCAATGTACTTTCTTGGCACTCCCTTCACAGTCAGACATTGCCATAGTACCTTTCGATCCACGGAGTCGAAGGCCGCCTTCAAGTCAAGAAATATGACAATTGTTGGACGCCGAAAAGTGTGTCTATGTTCTAGAATCTGTCGAAGAGTGAAGATATGATCTATGCACCCTCTACCTGGTCTAAAGCCTGCTTGATTTTCCCTTGTCTGTTCCTCCCGAGTTCTGCTTAGTCTATGCATGATTACTGAGCCTAGGATTTTAGAGACTATGTTCGTTAGGCTGATCCCCCTATGATTATCACACGAGGACTTGTTTCCCTTCTTGAATATCGGTATAATAAGTGACTTACCCCAGTCTGATGGAACTGTCTCTGATTCCCAGACTTTGCCTAGTACTCCCATATTTAAACACCTCCGGAATAATTCCGTCGGGTCCTGCCGCTTTGCCTCGTTTCAAATTACTGATAGCTTTTGTAACCTCACTTACAGACGGCGGACCAGTGTCTATATCCCATTCGGGTGTGTGTGGATGGCGGGGAGGTTCAGTGTGGCTGTAGGCAAGTTAAATTGTTCCTCAAAGTGTTCTTTCCAGCGTTCAAGGCGTCTATCCTGAGAGCTAATTAAGGAGCCATTTTTCTCATCTCACTTATGATTTGCCTTCTTCCACCCGTTTCCCTGATGAGTCTAAAGAGTTGCCTAGTGTTGCCTATCGCCGATGCTTTTTCCATCTCTTTCGCCTTTGTCACCCACCACTGTTCACGGTCCTTGCGGAGACTTTTAGTAAGTTTCCTTTTGTGCAGCTTTCGCTCCTCATTGAATTCGGAGCTCGCCGGAATAAGTCTTCTAGCATCTATCAGTTCGGATGAGGCAGTCGAAATCCAGTGGTTTTTACTCACCTTTGGATTTGCCTTATTCACAGCTTTTACAGCTGTATCTATAGCTGACTGAATATTCTTCCAGGCTTCTCCAGGGTGAGCACAGCTGTCGAACTCAGATATGCGTTTAGCTAGTTCTTCCTCAAATAGGGATTTAGTTTCCTGATCGAGCTGGGGACGTGATGGTTTTACCGCCAGCTGTTTCCTACGTCCGTTCAGTCGTAAGCACACACGAGCCCGGACCAGTGCGTGATCGGTATCTACACACGTGTTCCAGAAGGAGCGACAATCTCCTACCGACCCACGCCAACGATAGCTTATTGCTATGTGGTCTATTTGTGTCCAGCGTTGGTTTGATGATGGGGGTCGCCAGGTTAAACAGTGTCTCTCCTTGTGTTTAAAGTTAGTGCTTACAAGAAACAAATGATTATCTGAACAGAACTGTAGGAGACGGTCACCGTTGTCGGTTCGCTGGCACGGAACTCCATAGGTGCCACCGACATCCTTCTCAGATTGACACAATTTCCCTACTTGAGCATTAAAGTCACCAGCTAGAACGACTATATCTGAGCGTTTAGCCTTTCGCACCAAACTAGACAGCTTTTGGTAGAACTCATCCTTCGTTTCATCCGAACTGCAGTCAGTGGGGGCGTAGGCGGAGATTACGAAAAGGCATCGGCGAGTAGTGCAGTCCTTTCTCCTTCTTACTGATCCGTTCAGACGGACAGCACACATTCGGCTATCTACCGGGATCCAGTCAAGCAATGTCTTTTCTGCCCTAGTACTCAAAGCTATCCCTACGCCAGCTAATCCTCGTGAACTAGCTGTGGCATCTCCTGACACCCTCAAGGTGAATTTTGAAGATTCATCCTGTTGGCCAGGTGGGGTTAGGTGAATAACCACACTTGGGTCTTGTATGCGTGTTTCTGAAACACAACATACATCAATGGCTCGGGATGCCAGGGTCTTAGCTAGTGATGCTTGTTGTCCTATTTGGCAAAGTGTCCTAACATTAAATGCTCCTATATGAAATTGGTGGCGTGGCTTTAGGAGACTATCGGTGGTTTTTTGGCTTCCGTCGTTTTTAGTGGACACAGAGTGAAGAGGAAGTGAGGAGCCATCAAGTAGAGGAGTTGCATCAGTGGAAGGAAGACAAGATGATAGAGATGAAGATGAAGACAAAGATGAGTGAGGATTAGAGAGGTTTCGTGTGCATTTCGGATTGTGAGGGCGATTGTTACTTCCTGGCTGCCCACACCGTGGAAGTTGGTTGCGTGACCGCAGAGCCCAGGGGACAACTGCTTGAGGCCGGTCACACGCGACCTGTTTTTGTTCGTTTTTTATTGTTTGATGTGTCTCAGTAGCATATTTATCACTCTTGCCCTGTGAACACGGCAGCAGGAAGCGCGGTAGTTGTTAATCCGGGCATGATATTTTGTGAGTTTGTATGTATCATAGTGGTGGATTGGTTAGCTGCTTTTTGTCTAACCGCTATCCATACAACCTTTCTGGCATGGTAGGACCTCAAGCGATATAAGTCTCAGCCAGTATAGCTTGATTAGGTCATTGCGGCGTTCAAGCCCGACCACCACGTCAAGGTAACGGCTTTCGGTCGGGTGAAATGAAGATAATTCAAAAGTTTTAGCTACTTCCTAAGTCGGTAGGAAAGCATTCATCTGTCAGTTAACTATCAATTCACACTTTCACCACAACTCATTTCTGTCTAAATGTTTTACATAAAAGTGCTTACAGCTGTAGGTTATTTGATTTCGATTGACCAGATAGGTGCTGAGGCGTCGATTAAAAACATTTGCATAGTCCATCATACCTTTTTACTGTTGTCTGCAAATTTTCCATCAATTCAAGCTGGGTTTTGTACATTTCCCGCACCTTTTCTATTAGTAATTAATTTAAGAAAGCAAACAAAAATCTGGATTTTCGCTTCATTTTGGGGTTTCTATCATTTGTATTGTATCCAGACTGCAAAATTGAGCTGCCTCGTAGTGTTAACAGCCTATTAGGTGCACTTCTTAGTTGTCAGTTTCCGTTTATTGCTAAGCCTTCTTGTTTAGTTTTCTAGTGAGTCATTAAACTTGTTCGTACTTTCACTATTCTCTTGAGTTGCTATATTCTTCTTGCATTTCTGTGTAGTATATTACTGGGTACATAATCAATAAAACTCCAGTTTTCTTAAAATTTCCAGAAGGTGATCAAAGTCGTTCGCTACCTTCAGTGTATTTACTCAGTGAGAATGAATGACTTAATTAATGCTAACATTGAGGTGCTTCTGTGCACTCAAATATTTATGTCTTGAAATCGTTCTAGTATTACAAGCATATTTTTTCTTCTTCACCACTATTGCAGATTTGTGTTCTGTGTGTTTCAGGCTCGCAAACGGTCTTCAACCAACAATGTTCCTGAACAATCAGACTCCACTGAAGGCTGTAGTAACATCCCAACAAAGAAACTCGCAGTAGAGAATGAAAGTTCCGAAAGTAACAAGAGAACTGAATCATCATCAGAATCGAAAAAATCTACCACAGACATTCAACCAGAAGCAGAAACTTCAGTTCCCAATAAATCTATTCAAGAGGATCCTAATGTTAGCTCTGTGTATAAATCACTGTTTAATACCTGTGAAGAAGCTAAACGTCAACCAAAACCTCATTGGGTTACTTTTAATCCACTTTATTTTAGATGAGCTTTCTTGTTTTAACTTCTTTATTTTTTTGTTTTTATTATTGATTATGTATATGAAAATGATATCCTTGTATTCGACTTATTTCATGATCTTATTATCAATAAAAATGATATACCTTACTAATATATTTTTCAGGATTATGTATATTATTATATTATTCTCGTGGGTTCCGAGTGGCGCGTAGAACTTTTACAGCACACTTTCATCATATGTCCTGTTTTCTGCAGTCCTCTTTAGCTGGTTCCAAGGTTATCCGTAATCTCTCATCTCCTCTTTACGCAATCTCCTCCATGTCAACCTCGAACACAGGCTCAACTTGTTGTTTCCCATTCGGGTTCCACTTGAGCTATGTCCTGGCGCAAGATGTCACCCAACGACCCTCTCAACGTATATCCGATCCATCTCCATTTCCTCTTGCATATTTGTTGGGTTATAGGTTTTGGTTCGTCCCTAGAGCTCCTTGTTGGTAATCGTTTTTGACCAGCCATCTGACCTTCAGTATGGAACGAAGGCGGCTATTGATAAAAGTCTGCAACTTGTTTGAAATGCTTTTCGTAAGGAGCCAAGTTTCTGAACCATATAGAAGAAATGATTTTACACTGGTGTTGAAAATCCAATTTTTGTTCTTTGTGTTGAGTGCAGAAGATTTCGAAACTGATTTCACAGTGATGGTGGTTTGACTTGCCTTTCCGATTCTGGTTATGACATCCTCACCTGCGCAGCCTGTAGTTGAAACGATGCTACCTAGATAGGCGAAAGATGTGACCTGTTTTCAATTACTCCTGTTGGTGCTTGTTGTTGTTGGCTGGTTGTCTTCGTCACAACTGTATGTTCACTTGAACAACCGTCTCCGCTGCTTCTGCTGGCAATTTATTGGTTTTTGATTTTAAGTCTTCGAGTTTATGTGACTTCAGATATAAACTGTCCGCGACGTCCAGATCTTTTAGAGTCTTCTTATCGGTCCAACTTATACATGTCTTCTTGCTCCCCACAGTCCGACGCATAATCCAGTACACCTTAATTACGAATATCGTCGGTGATAACGGACAGCTTTGTCTCACTCCTTCAGGTAGTATCAGATGACGGCCAGCTCAAGACTCTTTTGAAGTAGTCACCCCATTGTTTTATTTGTCTCTCTTCTTTGGTAATTGGGTTCCCTTGACTATCTTTATAGGTTTCATCTGTGTTGATCTTTCCCGGATGGAGACCTGGTTATTTGATATAGTGTTCTGAGGTCTCTTTTACAGTTTCTGCAGACTGTTCTTCAGTTGCCAGTCTGTAGTAGAGTTGTCTTTTCTAGTACTCCTCTTCGCTTTAAATTCAGTGAGATGTGCATTGAACTCAGCTTCTCCTGTTACCCATCGTTGCGTTGGTTCTTGTTTTACACCACTGTCCTCTCTTCTATTAGCCTTTAAGTGTCTGTTGAGAGCCATTTCTCGTTAACCACTTCTCTTTTTCTAGAACGGTTGTACATGTTTCCTTGAACTTCACCTTTAGGGAGTCCTAATTTTCTTTCACGCAGGTTTCCTCAGTGATACCACGTAGTGTTTCCGACTTCACTCTGATTGTTTCACTAAATGTGTCTTTTGTAGTTGCATCCTTCAGTTTTTGAGTGTTGGACTTGAATTGTGGCCTGTCTCTAGTTATTCTGAAGGATTTCAGCCTCACCTTAAAGATCCCTTGAACTAGATTATGGTCTGAGTCCACATCTGCTCCCCTTCTCGACTTTGTGTACGGCAGACTCTCCACTTTCTTGAGCAGCACTGAGGTGAAATCTATCAGGCTTATGATATGTCCGTCAGGTGAAATCCATTTTGCTTTGTGTATATCCTTGTGTTTGTACACGCTGCTTCGGATTACAAAATAATTGAAAGCGCAGAAGTCTGCGAATAATTCTCCGCTCTCATTCATTTTTTCCGAGCGAGAGCCTCTCGACCCATGATGAGTTCTGTTTCTATGTTGTCTACTCCCAGTTTGGCTTGCATTCATACCGCCCATAAAGATTTTGATGCCGCCGTTTGGGTTGTTGTCCGTTACTGTTTGTATTTGTCTGAAAAAACCTTCTCTTGTTCCGCGTTGTTTGTAGGTGCGTAGCATTGGATAATTGTAATCCTCCTTCCTTCCTTTGGAATTGAATCTTGCTGTCATAATCCTGGAGGAGATTGGTTGCCACTGCATTAGCGCTTTGGCTGCTGTTGATGATATCATGACAGTCAGTGTGCTCGTGGTTATCGTCTGAGTGACCCGAGTAGACTAATGACTCACCAGTTGACAATTTCGACAGTCCACAACCATTGTATCTGCTCTCACAGATTCCTTGCATTTCCATTCCATGTCTTCTTATTTCTTCGTCTACTTGGGTAGCCTTCCCAATTCAGCCTCGTACATTGTACTTACATTCCACATCCCCATTCTTAATCTTGCTTTCATAGAGACGACACATCTGCTAGCTGACTGGCTTACCGAAGGCTTTCACAAGCGCCTGCTGTGTCATTTTTTCTCTCTGATTTCATTGAAGAATAAGTTTGTTTTGTATACTTTTGCTGTTATTTGAAGTTTCTGTAGCGCACATGTTAATTTTCCGGGATAGGGTCGCTAGTCCCACGCCCATCCTTCCGTCTTTTGCTGGGCTTAGAACCAGCTAATATACTAGGCGAGGTTCATGATTTCTTAAGTGCGATATTGTTTTTGCGATATTCAACTGGGTTTTTTGGAATGATTATTAGGGCGAAAACCAACCTCTATATTTATTTCTTGGGCAGAATTTTTGCACGCTTATGCAAATGGATGTTTGAATTACAATTGACTAGCTTCTGCACCCCATCAGTGAATTTTCCTCGGTAAAATTCAAGGATTTGTTCCACTTCTACAGGAACAGATTTTGGTCAGTGGGATGGGACACAGAATTCTGTAATAGAATAATTTTTTGTTGTAGCGCAGTATATCATCTTGATATGACTGCGATTAATAAACTGCGTGAAACGTCATCAGTAAGTAAATTATTCTGTTTCAAGACGTGAATAAGTAATTCCACCATCAAATGTCTCATTATTTATTTCGTGGTTTTATATCTCACACATTGATATAATTTACGAAGTGCACACACGGTGTCATGGAGAATGCAGGGTAAATAAATGACCTCATATTTTTAATAAGATCTCATCAGACACAGAAGTAGATTTGTAAATTACACTGTTTCAAGAGCGAATTCACCAAAGTTCCACTTGAAAACCAAATTTTTCCGGATCACAACATATGATCTGCTTGATACTATAAATGGCAATCAAAAAGGCAAGCGTAGTCACACTGTGGTATCTACTACTGATACGCTGATATGAGTAGTTATAAACCACTCATTTCCAACGGCAGTGTTTGTCTGTCTGTTTTCGACATAGAACTTTGCACCGATGTGTGACAGTCCGAGTCGCCACACTCCATGTAGCACACAAAGCAAGAGAACAAAGTAGAATGAATGCATAATAGAGAGAGTAAGCTGAGGTGTGAGACAAAGGAATATTAGTAGCGAAGAACAAAACAGTTTCATTGGAAATCATAAGTCACAAGGAGTGGATGCATCTGCGCCATTGAGAACGATTTTGAACCATATCACCAATTGTTTCCAACCATTGGTTTTTACCGTTCCGAGGACACCAACCAGAAAGTTTACATCTTCCTACGTGGCTTAGACTAACTGTTGTAGATTTCATTGACTGGTGCCATATTTTGGTTTGACCGCCGCTAGCTCTTTTGCAGCCTGACCCTATGTAAGTTACCACTACCCTTCGAGGAAGGCGATGACTAGGCATACGTAACACATGTCCTAACCATCTCAGTCGATGTAGCTTCACAGCCTCGTAGATTGATTTCCCCTCCTTACCTAGCACTCGACCAATGCCTAACCTCAATATTGCTCACCTTATTGTACCACTTCACATGGGAGATAGAGCGGAGACATCTATGATCAAAGACAGTTAATCTTCTCATGTCTTCCACTCTCAATGGCCAGGTCTCATAGCCGTAAAGGAGGACGGAGCGGACCGATAAACAGTACACCTGCCTTTGGGTCGATAGCCAGCCGGATATCACGTCTACACCAGAGACGGCGTAAACTGGCATATGCGAAACTAGCCCTCTGTATCCGTGCTGAGATTTCGTCAGGGATCAACCCGTTGGGGCTGATGGTACAGCAGTGTTTGCTAGCCAGACAGAAGTTATCTCATTACCAGACAGGCGTTTCGTTTGTTCGGGGTTAAGTTCATCAGGGGTGCACCCAGAGTGACTCAGCTGGGAAAACTGAATCAGTCCAACCCTTCTGACACAACCATTTTGTCGGTAACCTCTTCCTGATTGCGTAAACTTGAAATATGTAACATCCAAGGTGCTCTAAGATTTTTGAAAAACAGGCTTTTTTTAGCGCTTGTAGTTCTGCTCCTATATTCCAGTGATTGATTGATTGGATAATTTCTTGTATCCCCGTGTGTTGTAAGTGTCACCGTAAGCAACCCGTTGGTGAGTTGGAGGTCTTTCCTTATCCATCTCTTTAGAAGAGCATTGAAACACATAATCTTCTGGCGAGGGCTTGTAGTCATCGACGTGAACATTGGTTATAACATGCTATGACTAAAGTCTTGATAGTGTGATCAGAGTGATTATAGGTTTAAGCCCTTAATCACCTAGAGTAACTTCGCTAACCAGATAGGGTCATCTATTGTCATCTGATTGGTGAGAATCATACACAAAGCTGTTAAGTTACATTACAGATAATGTTATTGTAGTGGAACTTAGTGTTGTTTTTTGACCATTTTATGCACCAGAGTGTATACTCCTGCTAACCTCCAACTTAACTGTAGATACATAAAGGGGTGAAAATTTGTTTTAATTCAATGGCATGTGTTCTTTACCAGAGACTACTGCAAACAGTAGGCACCTACAGTATAGACCGAAGTAGGTCATGTAGGACACAAGATTTGAAAGTCTTAATCATTAATGTCAACAAGTGT